AATCAGGGGATAGCAGTGATGGCATCTCTGTAGGAACGTGATCAAGTATAAAAGCATGGAGCAGTTTTAGAAGAAGTTCTGGAAGCCTGAGTTAACTGCACGGTGGGCAAAAGGGCGCCCAAAGAAGACTCGAGAAAGATAACCGAAGGTGCCTCAGTGGCTCTGGTAGCTGTCACAGCTTCAGTGCATTTGCTGCGATGGCCTCAGGGCTCCCCTACCCCAGGCAGTCAGCCCCTTGCCAGGTTGCACACCTTCTCAGTAATGGCTGAGCAGCATGTCCTTCCAATTCATAAAACCCTGAATAAGAAATACAGCATCACAAAGGCCGTGAAAGCTGACTGAACTTGGGATCCCAGACCCATCTGTGCTAGCTGTGTGACCTTGGGCAGGTTCATGCACAGGGTACCGTGGAAAAAGGAGCATGGAAGGGGTCTGGTGGGTCATGGAAGTGGGATGGTGCCTGGGACAGAGCAGATATGCAACATGCTGCAGTTACTATGATGGGCGGAACTATCTCAGTAGGAGCAGATGTATGAGTAACTATTCTTCTTTCCAAAAGATATCTGTGTTTCAGAAACGGGGAGAAAGACATGAATCAGGATCAAATGCTATTCCTCTAGCCAGAGGCTTCCCATGCCTACCCCCACGCAAGAAAAGATGACAGATGTGGGTACAGTAGGCCCACCTGGGCTTCCTTCTCCATCTTGGTCATGTTTAAAAACATCTGTGCTATTTCCCGGTCAAACACTCGCACTCGGTCCCAGTCCAAAAGGAGAGATCTGTCTTTATCGGTGTTAACCTGCAGGAAGAACAAAAGAACACAGGAGAGAATGTATCCAGGTGAGCCTGTTGCCAGGGAAGAGAAGTGGGGCAGATGAAGTTTATCCCTGTCTGCGAGCAAAATAGTTCCAGCTCTAAAGTCTCGTAGCTGTACCTGTGAGGGTACATAGGTATGTAGATACCAGATGTGCAGATATACAGCCCCTCCTCAAGCTAGGGCTGTTCTGACAGCTGTCCTCCCCGGGATGAGGCAGATGGTCTCATGAGGGGTGCTGAAAGCCAAAACTGATGTGTTCTTAAGGAGCATCAGAGCCTCCACCTCTCATGCCATCTCTGCCCACCCCTTAATGCCCTGTGTTGACTGGAGCAGCTTGCTACTATGTTCTAAATCTTAGGAGAAGCTTCTATGGAGGCTTTTATTTGGAGAAAGGGTTCCAAGACCTTAAAAAAGTTTTAAAGTCAGTCCTTGGACCTGACTGGCAGCTGCTGGCCCCAAGGGGTGACCTCACTCCACACTACCAAAGCTGAGTTCATTCCCGCTTATCCAAATTCAATGCATCCAGATCAAGCCTTATTCTGCCTCTCCATGAAGCCTGGGGTGCCTTCCCTGGGTACCCTGCAGATCCCTCTCCGGCCTCCCTCCTCTGTACCAGTGGCCACACTTGTGCCCTTGGCTTCGGAGGCCTGCAGCACTATGATGATGAGAAACTCTCAGAATCCATGCCCCAACCAAGAAACACCCAGTGGGAACAGAGAAGGGAAAGCAAACCTTGGCCTGCAGCACCCAGTAGGTCTCTGGTTTGAAGGACTGGATTTTGTCATGTCTCTCCACGCAGAACCCCAGGGTAGGGGTTTGACATGGCCCAAAGGAGATGAGGGAGCTGTCTAAATCACCGTATTTCCCCTGGAAATACTTAGTCTGAAACCTACAAGGAGGGGTGGGGTTGCGGTGGGGGAGAGAAAGATATTTCGGTCATGCATTTGCTCAAGATAGCACCATTAACCACCTCTGGGAATCCGGGATGGGCTAGCAGGTGAGTGCAGCGAGGAGGCCAAGGCAGCTGCTCCCCGCTCAGAAGACAGGGTAAGAGGATGTGCTCAGCAGGGAGGGGGTGTGTGCTCGTAATAGAGAGAATGCGAGAGAGGAGCAGAGGTTCTGATCATGCTGGGCCAGGAAGACCTTTTATGATATTCCGTCCCCTCCACTCTCTCCTCAAGGCCTGCACAATGTGGACGAACACAGGTTTTCAAGAGGTGGCCTATGTAGTCTATTTTAGCTGAAAAGACAGTTTCTTCAGGGTTTTTAAAATGTTGGCAATCAGGGGGTGCTGATTGGGCCCAGGGGCCACAGGTGGAGACCAGTAAGGGCAGGGGGTCTGGCTAAAGGTAGGGCGACCAGCACCTGGTGAAGGCACAGCCGATGCGCAGGTCCAGCTCCTGCCGGGCATCCACCGAGAGCGCCTCATTGTGGTCAGGCTCGCCCAGGCGGGCCATGGCGTTGCAGATGTCTGTGTCCGTGATGGAGCTAAACCTGGCCCGGAACACTGTCTTCTCGCTGCCGTGGGCCGGATTCATGACGGGCAGTACAGCATCCAGGACCTGGGGGAAGCAGCTGGCTGTCTCTTGCCGGACCCTCCTCCATCTCCCTTCCCTTCTGGAAGCCTCAGTCTCTCCACATGGCTTTTTTTCCTTCTGTCTACAAATTTATTCAAACACCATCTTCTTACTACCGTCCTGCAGGCTGTCGCCCTCTCTCTTAACTTCTTCTTCCATCCCCACCAAAACAGGAAATGATACTGCCATGGACACACAGGAACTCAGAGTCCCCAGATCCACCCCACTTGACCCATTTCTCCTTCTTCTAGAGGGGGGAGTGTTAGGAAGGGGAGAGGTAGAACTTTTGAGAGGCTGGAAAAAAGAGAGGAGAGAAAAAGAGCGAAGAGGAAAAGAATGAAGAATGGGCAGCAGTGAGAAGGCCTGGGCGACCCCCACTCTGGGGGAACTGCGCAGCTCAGGGCTAAAGCCCAGTGGGCGTCCTGGAGCCAGAGTCACTGAGAAGGCCGTGAAGTGGGAGGGGAGCCTTGCTGGAGCCTAGCCATGCAGCTTCTCCACAGGAAGAAGCGGCTTCGAAGGGAGAAAACCCCTCGAGCTGCCACTGTTCTCTACCCCCAGCCACAAAGGCCCCCTGGGGAGGAACAGCCTTGTAGGAGAGGGGACAGGAGAGGTTTGTCTGGGAAGGGATAGAGTGAGATCGACTTTGCTGAGGCTGCTGCACTAGAATGCGGGGTGCCCTGAGTTCCCCTGTAGTGTTGGAAGCATTTCCTGAGCCCTGAGGTGTGCCAGGCCCTGATGAGGGCTAGAGGTACAGAGTCAGGAAAGTGACCTGTACGGAGTCACAGCCTGAGGGGCACCAGGTGAAACCTATAGTCACACCAGTCCTAGGACACCACAGTGAGGCAGTCATGGGAGGGTATCCTGGGTGGGAAGAGGATGCCTGAGGGCAGAAGAAAAATGAGGCAAGTGAAAGGAGTGAAGAAGATGGCTGGGTATCAATCAGCATCCATCTAATGTCCCTGAAAGGTGTTGAGTGGGCTGGGATGCTGAAAACCTCCTCTCTCTTCAAGACTGCCCCATTTTGAAACCCAATCCATCTAGCAAATTCTGCCTTTACCTTCGCTCACACAATGTGCCCCAGCAGGTGAAGTAACACTCTATTACCTTTAGCAGAGTCTACGCATTGTAAAGTGTCTAGAGAATTTCCAAAATAAAGGAGAACGAAAGGGGTTTTGAGTAGGGAGTCAGCTACTTTGTGGCCCCAGAAATGGCTGGGGCAAGTGCCAGGAAGTCCAAGAATGAGGATCACAGTGGGGTCTAGCCTCACCTCAAAGCAGATGTTCTCCCCTTCTTTGTCGCAGTCCAGCCACAGCACGATGTAGTCACAGCCTTTGCCTTCCACCTGCCACACAGGATACAGTGACTTGTACCTGTCACAGCCTGGTCCCCCACTGAAGTGCCCACCCATGGTGTTCCCACCATGCTTGGGAGCAGACTCACCCCCTCCCCGCAGCTGTTTAGGAAAACCCGTGTCTCCCCATGCTCCCCATAACCTAAGTAGAGGAGCTAGTTAGTTAGACTGGCTTAGCCACTCAGAAAATAATTTTCTTCAGAACTGTTGTTTTGTGGACAAAAAATGTTAATGCAATAAGATCTTAACCCCTAAAAATGTGTAGAAAAAGAACTGAAATAAAATAACCCTAAATGTTAATAGTGGTTTTCATGGGTAGTGTGATTTATAAATAATTTTTTCTTCTTTCTATTTATATAGTGCAGTTTTACATAATGTGTACGCATTTGTTTTATTTTTTTTAACTTAAAAATGGTTAAGATGGTAAATTTATTTTTTGTGGTGACACTGGTTAACGAAATCCAGTAAGTTTCAAGTGTGCAATACGACAGTAATTTATATATATTTTGCATTGTGAGTTCACTGCACATAGTTCGGCATTTATTTTAAAATTAGAAAAACCACCATCACCATACAATTTTAAAAGCAGAATTCAGGTGGCTGACTGTGTAGTGGGGGAGGAACAAGCCTGAAAGGGGCCTCCTGGGCAAGCAGGGCGGGGTGCTCACAGAAAGAGCTGTGAGGCCAGCCCAGGCTGGGGGCAAATACCTCCTGGGATGGGGGCGGGCAAGGAGCCAAGGGCCTTCCTGACTGCCTGTGCCTTGCGCACCTGCAGGAACTTCACCATGTTCAGCTTGGGGTTAGCTTCCTTCTTCTCCGTTGGGGCTTGGCTGAACAGCTCTGCAGGGTCCACCTTATCCCATTTGTTGTACTTTCCTACAAACCACAGGCACAATACAGCTGAATCACATTTCAGAGCTTGGCCTCTGTGACTGTCATAGCCCCGGGAGGACAGTGGTGGTCTCATCTCATAAATAGGGAGAGGAAGGCTTGGAGAATGATTGGCCCAGGGTAACCCCGACAGTTGGAGGCAGAGCCCTCCCTCAGCAGCGTTCCTCCTCCTGGCTACTGAGCTGACCCTATACCTCAGCCTCCCATGGGAGCCACCAATGGGCAAGGATGCAGGTCTAGCCCTGCTTCCAGAACAGTCCCTGTGGCTGGAAGCACCACTCCTGGGCTGGCTCACTCTGCCACAGCACTGAATCATGCCACTCATGCCTTTGTTTTCTTCCCTGAATTCTGTAACCCTCTCCCCTCAACCTAGTACTTGACCGGGTACACAACAGATGTTCTGTTGATACCCTTGGGAAATCAATCTCTTTCGGCATCGTGTTGGGCACATCCACCTCCTTCTCTACTCGGAGCTCAGTGCTCGCATTCTCAATGCTCTAACTTTCTTTTATGCTCCATTTCTTGCAGCCTGGGGGATTGGGGTCAGATAGAGCTAAGTTCAAATCCTGGCTCCCCACCTGCCAGCTGGTAGTAAAGCTCAGGGTTTGAACGCTCAGCCACATAACTGACTTGATGTCACCGTCATCACCGAGCAACAAGAAGTACTGAGGCTTTGCTGTGGGTCTGGCCTTATGCTAAGCACTCTACCTTCACTGTCACACTGAGTCCACAGACCGTCCTGGGAAGTGGATGGCTGTCATAAGACCCATTTCACACATGAGTGGCAGAAACTCAGTGAGGTCTAGTCACTGCCCCAGTCTCAGCCTGTGAGCCGGTGGAGTGTGGGTCAGAGCTGGGGCTGGATTCTCATCAACCATACAGCCTTGCACCTCACCCCGGTGCATCACCAATGCTGGCCATTCCAAGATGATAGATAACAATATGAGGATGATGATGATAGCCATTGAGTGACTGCCGGACAAC